CAGTCCCCGAGTGAGCACAGCCCACACCGTGAAGGAGGACTCTCAGTCCCCGAGTGAGCACAGCCCACACCGTGAAGGAGGACTCACAGTCCCCGAGTGAGGTGAGCGCAGCCCACACCGTGAAGGAGGACTCTCAGTCTCTGAGCGAGGTGAGCACAGCCTACACTATGAAGGAGGACTCAGAAAGGGAAGGACACATTCCAGAGCTGTTTCCAGTTCGGCAGGACTGTGGTGCTGGATACTAGGGCTCAGCCTGGGGTTGAGGGGAGAGAATGCAGCCCCAGAGGTAAGATCCGAAAAGTAAAAGTACTTTAGTTACATGGTTGGGTCTTGACTTAGGTCTCTGCCTGTGGTGGGTGGAGCATGAGGTGTGAAAAGGTGGGAAGGCCAGTCTGGTTAGGGGTTTTAGGTCAAGGTAGACAAGACATCCAAGTGGGCAGCCAGAGGCCAAGGACCCTGGGCAGGAGCTGTGGGAGGTGGTGTTCGAGCTGATGGATGGTAGACGCTTCGCAGTGTGTTGGCAGAGGCAGGAGTGGCAGGAAGAGATCATGGATGGGGAGTGTTCTGTTTGGCGCTGGAGAAGGGAAAGGAAGCAGAAAGGACACCACAGTAGTAGAGTCTCAGATCCACCTGGAAGGGGGACCAACATCTGGTGCTACGTGATGAGCATGAGAGGGCTGAGCGGGAGGCAGCTGGAGCAAAAGGCCCAAGAGAAGGGAAGTGGGTGAGTGAGCCTGTCACAGCCTGCTCTGGAGTGAGGGCAGTGGTGGGCCTCACGGAGCCCATCCGACATGGGAGGCAGGTACACATCTTGCACAGGCCCAAGAGAAGAAGCTGAAAGAGGCAAAATCCAGACCCCATAGCCGGCTGGCCTGACCTGCCATGATGGGGTCCCGTCCATCCCTTGTCTCTGCTTCTCCTATCCCCTATTCCCAGGTCGCTGGCTTAGGCTTCTCTGGGTTCCTCAGAGCTGGCTTGCTATCTCTCTTTTCATGAACTGTCTTCCCCATGTGGAATTGGAACATCGCTGGTCCTTCCACGCAGTCTTCTCTGATGACTTCGTCTCACCTCCACCTAGGTCAAGTGTCTGCGCAGTGTCCTCATAGAACCCTCTACCCCCACGAGCCAGACACTTTGTGAAGGATGAACCTTGCCAATTGGGACTCTTGATACTCAGAATCGTATCTAGAACATGGTAGGGACTCAGTGAATACTTGATAACTGAGTTATTGAATAAATTTCACTTAATCCTGTCAATAACTCTCCCTTTTATAGATGACAAACCTCTTGTGGGTCAGAGGACTTCGGTAGTTTGTACAGGGTTACATACCAACATTCAGTTTCTAGCTCAGGATGTGTAGTCCTCACAGGTGCACCCAGGGAGCAGGGTGACAAGCTCAGAGGAAGTACCAAGAGGTGTCCAAGAGAGCCCCAGTACATGAACTGTGGCTGGCCTCTCCCTCTCCACTTCCATTCCAGGTGCTGTCCTTGTGAGCCTCGGGAGAGCCTGAGCAGTCTTCCTGGGCTAAGGGCAGGACACAGATGCAGATGAGAGGAGGCTCTCCAGGCACAAGGAAGAGGAGATGATGAACAACACGTCTGTTTCCCTCCGCAGGAGCGGCTCCTTCTGTCTGTCCTTCCCCGTCACGTTGCCATGGAGATGAAAGCAGACATCAACGCCAAGCAGGAGGATATGATGTTCCACAAGATTTACATCCAGAAGCATGACAACGTGAGGTAGGGCTGAGGACAAGGTGGACTCCAAGGAAGACATCCCCCCTCTTTTCCTTTTAAAGGGCACAGCCTGGCAGACTGACTGGTAACTTGGAGCCTGTGTTGTCTGGCCCTGACCAGCCCCGTTGCTCTGTATGCCAGGTGAACGATCACTGTGCCCTCTTTAGCTTCCTTCAAGGGCTGAAGGGAGCATGAAGGCTGCAGGAGTGGATTGAGAGGGAGGGGGGAAAAAGAAAAAGCAACACTAGCTGCTTGGGGGACTTCTAGCCTGACTTCTAGGGAGACAGAATACATCAACGTGGGACCCCCATGTGTCACACTCTTCATCACCCCTGGCAGCTTGGGTGCCTTCTAAGCCTAGGCAGGCCAGGTGCTATACCAAGTATCCCTAATCTTTTGTTTTCTTTTTGGCGGTGCTGGAGTTTGAACTTGGGACTTCATGCTTGCTAAACAGATGTTCTACCACTTAAGCTACTCCACTAGCCCCTTTTCGTGTTAATTTTGAAATGGGGTCTCATTTTATGCCCAGCCTGGCCTGGGATGCAATCTTCTCTCCTGTTGGTGCTCCCCTCTTTCTTGGATGGCAGGCACGCACCACTGAGCCCACAACACTGGTAGAGATGGAGTCTCTGGCCTCGAACTGTGATCCTCAATTTTTGCCTCCCAAGGAAATAGGATTACAGGCTCACTCCACCCACTGCCCAGCCTCACAGATCCATTTAATATCACTGCAAGATGAACCAAACAATACTCCCAATTTCCAAATTCAACTCAGAGGGATAGAGATACCTTTGTGTAGCTGAGGATGCTGAAGCCAGGGTTACACCCAAGTCAGCCTTGCAACTAAGCTCACACTCCTCTCCCTGTGTATCAGCTACCTCCCTAGACAGAAGCCGCTGACAGCAGGGACATGCAAACAGATGTAGATTAATAGAGTGCAAAATCTGCTTATGGGTTCCACCGGGACATGAAGCGATACAGTGGCCTTCATCCAGCAGGGCTCCTGGAGAGCCCCTAATCCTCCATATGCCCAGAAAAGGAGCCACTGTGTGAGTTTCCAGTTTCTTTCTCCCTGAGTGAATTCTCCCAAAATCTGAGCCCTCTAAGGTCGCTGTAAAAAGAACCTTTGGAGGTTTGGGCTGCATTTTCAATAAAGGGAGTCAGTGGGTCATATAAATTGTTACAGAGAGACAGAGACAGACAGAGAGAGACAGACAGAGAGAGGGAGAGGGAGAGAGGGAGAGCGTAGCGGGGTAGGGGGACTACTCTGTATTTCATGCAGAGGAGAAGAGTCCTCCCCAGCCTCCCCAATTGCCCTGGAGTTACAGACTGCTGATCTGAATTTGTATATTCCATCTGTCCCTCACAACTGGGAGGCCACATCTTTGTGAGAAACATGTAGCCGCACCACATATTTGTGCTCAGTTTCCAGCCCCTCTGAAGCCCACCCGTGCTCTTTGTCTGGAAGGGCTGTGTAAGCAGTAGCAGCCTTAGTCTCCCTGGCAGAGGAGTTACCCCTAGGAGGCTGAGCCCAGAGAGTGACAGAGGCAGAGAGGTGGCTGGTGAGCCAGTTGGGAAGCACGCATGCTGGCTTCTCTGCTGCTCCTCACATCTGCCTGTGTGTTCCATGTCCACTAGACACTTGGGATCAAGCAAGCGCCTGCTTCTGCAGAACAGACTTCTCCCAGCCAGAGAACTTCCATGCATTCATTCGGTCCCCATTGTGCAAGTGAGGAAACTGAGGCACTGAGAGTAATAACTTGTATAGAATCCCACAGCTAAGTAGGAGGATTGCTCCCCCCAATTAAACGCTTTCTGCTTTCAGAGTCTATTTAGCCTGACTCTTGGATAGATGGAATGTGAAGAGAGAGGGGGAGAGGTATGTGTGGCAAGGAAGAAATAGCCTTTCTGATTAGGACAGAGACTCAAATTTAAGATGGGGAAACAGTGGCTCAACAGTGAGCCAAGCCTCTGAGCTCACCCTTTGTGGAATTTTCTCTCAGTCCAGTTTTGTCTTCTCTATCTCACTGGCCCTCGCTATTGTCCCTGGAAGAGCCAGACAGAAGGTACATTCCTTGTTTACTCCTAACTCAGCAGAGCTTCCGAAGCTTCTATTTAAATGTAAAGCACAATACGAAAGAAATCCAGAAAATTTACCACTCAGAAACAGCCTGGCAAAGTAAGGAAAAGGCTCTCTACTTGGCATAGCAACACCTCTGGTGTGCTAAGCCTCCTCTGTGTCTCTGCCCAATCCCTGCCATCTCCTTTAGCCCCTCTGCCCACAGGCAGGCCTTACTCCCCTTTCCATCCCGCAGCTGCAAGCCCTGAGCCTCCCTCCAGTTAGGCCATTTGATCTGAGGGACTGACTCAGGCCTGGTCACAGTGATCCTCCCAGGGAATGGCAGCAGTCCCTCCTACCCTATCCCTTGGTGGTGGTGACTTTGGGTGAAAAGAACCAGTGCCCTAATCACAGCATCCTGAGCCTCCCCATACATGAGTCAGGCCCCAGCCACAGTGAGGGTATATGTGTCTAGGATGTACCAGGATCAATAACAGCAATCAGGAAAAAGATGAAAGAAGAGAACTAAAGGCCACAATTCTCCTGGGCACTGAATAATCACCAGGGAGAAAGGCGGCTGGTACACATCAAAGGGTGTGGCATACCACTGCAATCTTAGGCGAATATCTTAGGCAGCTCACTGTGGACCCTTAGCATGCTGGGGAAAACAAGTGCTTTTCTGGGCTGTGTTTTGGGGTTGGAGTTGGCTTTGGTTTGGGGTTGAATAGTAGTGAGGGGCATCATAGTTTAAAGCCACACTGTGGGACCAGGATCTTGGAGATCTCATGGGGTTCAGGTTAAGCGGCTTTGCATGTCATTCCAGCTCTGTTGTGTGACTAGGGCAAGTTTCAGGCATGAGCCACCCTGCATCTTAGGCTCCACATCTACATCACAGCATAGAAGGAGTACTTAATAGGGCTGTGAAGTGTAAAGGGAACAATGTGGGGAAAGTGCTTGGCACCATTTCTGACACGTGAGTTCAGTAATTGGGAGCTGCAATGACTGTTGTTACAGTTTTTTTTTTTTTTATGATTACTGTCCCACCCCTATCAACAGAGAAAGGCCTGGGGTTCTCTAGCTGGAGAAGGGAAGGTGATGAGTCACATTCATCAATTCTCCACAGAGTTGTAATATTTAGAGGGTGATGACATGCTGTTCTCTGGCCCCGCCAAGAGCAAGGCCACAAGAAAAATAAATCAGCTCCACAGTGTGACAGATGCGGCGCAGATCTAAGGACTATGCTGGGGAGAAGGGTTTAAACTGGGCAAGGAAAGAGGACAGACAGGGGCCACCATTCTCTGAGGCTACATCATCCTCTGGCCCAAAGAATATTTGTATAGCACACAGTCCTGGGGTACCAGTGAGTACTGGCCAAAGAGCCTGTAGGAGGCTTTGGTGCTGGGCCAACACTGGCTGTAGGATGAAGCAAGCCAAAGGCCAGGATGCCACTAGAGACCCCACTCCTAATGCCCATATCCCTCCCCGGATACCTCTTCCTCTCAGCCCCTCGGACTGGGACCCTGGTCTCCATCAGGCTCATGTCTTGGGAGCCATCTGCTTCCCATAGCACAAGTACCTGCTCCCTGCAGCCACTTGTGTTGGGTGGGGACTGTGCTGCTCCTCTGATCCCTGGAAGGATAGAGAGGAAGTTATCAGAATATTCAGCAGAGGCTGCTCTGGGAGCAGGAAGGGCTATGGGATTATAAGGGAGGAGGGAGTTGAGCCAGCTTCAGAGGTGCTCAAAGAAGAGACCAGCTGGGGAAGGCATCACACCACCCAATTCCAGTATAGATAGACCAGACAGACCCAGATCATCCTCACCAGTGGATCTTGAGGGCTGGAGATGAGTATCCACCTGGAGCAGACTGGTACACACCCCAGCTTTGCCACTTGTGCTCTGGGGGGAACTTGGAAAGACTTGTTTTTAGTAGTACTGGAGTTTGAACTCAGATGTGTTTTACCTCTGCCTGGGCCAAGGTGGACTAGAGCTAGGAAGAGCAGCTTGAAGTTTAGAACATGCCGTCTCTGGTGTGGTGGAGTCCCTTCTGTTAGAGAACACAACCATTAGATAATGAGGAGTTATTGGTAAATTGTGAAGTTTCACAGTTTTTACTCTGAGAGGAGTTGGGTGAGCCAACCAGGAAATGTGGGCCTTGCAGGGTATCAATATTAAATTACTCGAGTAGGATCATTCTTAGAATGGCAAGAAGATACAGATGGGAAGCAGGACAGGTAGGAGGCCATCCTGGCTGCCAGGGCTGCTGGGAGGTGAACCGAGGGGAGGGGCTGGAAACCTTCAGCTCTGACCTGGCCTGGAGGCTGCAGGCTGATAGCCTTAGAGATAGAAAGATTGCCAGGACAGAATCAAGGCATTGTAACCTACTACCCAAAACAGCAGGGCACGGGGAATGCCCGGGGCTCTCCGTATCTACAGTGAGTCCTCCTGAATGAAGATGACCTTGTATGTCACTAGATTGGCTCATGCTTAAGCCCTTTAATTTTTAAAGGTTGTAGATGGTAGAGTGGGTCAGAGTTCAGCCCCGTGGGGTGTGAGTCCCATGCTGAGGAATAAGATTCTCCCAAGGTCCATCAGTGCTCCCAGCACCCTCCCCACTCAGGATGGTGTTGTTGGTGGAGTCTCGATTCAAGCGCTTGGATAAGCCTCGCATATTAAGTCAGGTGCCCAGTGGCTCATGCTTGTAGTCTTAGCTTCTCAAAAGGCTTAGATCACAGTTTGAAGCCAGCCTGGGCAGAAAAGTCTACAAGATCTTTGTCTTCAGTCAACTGGCAAAAAATCATGACTAGAGGTGGTGGCTGAAGTGGTAGAGGTTCAGCTATAATCAAGAAGACTAAGCTAGAGTGCAAGAGAGAAAGAAAAAAAAAAGGCTCATTCCTTGACACCCAGGAGCCCTATGTGTTAGACCTGTAGTCCTGGCACAGGGGG